TTTAGTTCTAATACCGCAGAGCGCGTATTTGTTTATCTGAATTATCTTCGCTTTTAGACTTCGTTGATCTGCAGGTTGCGCCTTCCAAATGCTGTACATTCAGGCTGTACCTAGATGAGGTGTTCCCATATTCAGCGCCGCGTAAGGGAAGGGTCCAAATGCACTTCATGACCTACATTTTGCGTCACTTGGAATTCACGAACGCCTTCTTTGATTATGAGTTTGAGGTCCCGCCCACACTACGCCTCAGAAATTTGAAGACGCAGCTTTATTTCTTCGGTTAGGCCTACCGTCCACACTAGTCCGTCACGAAAACAGAGCTTTCCGAAAACGCTCTTCAAACCGGAGGAATTTGAAAACACCGGCTTTGCGTTTCCGTGTGGACAGAAAACATTTTGAAAACGGAGCTTTTCGAAAACGATGACGTCACGACAATCATGTAATTTCCCTGACCGAGTCCTCCTCAATCAAAAATCCAAATGACCTATGATCGCTGCCTTCTCAATTTTATCCGGCGTAGTGTGGATGAAAAACAACTGATACGTTCTCAGAGTGAAAACGCCGTTTTCAAATTTCTCCGCGAGAGAAAGAACGTCATTATATATAACTAGCCAAACGAACGTCACTATATATACGTATCCAGCGGCGTGTTACAAGACCCTCCGTTGTTTGAGACTCCTTGACTAGAAACGCCCCACAGGTATGTGTCAATACATTCATTTCACGTGGCTTGCGACTCGATGGCAGTTCTATTTGTCATTAGCTAAGCGGCCGAAAGAACGTCGAAATGTCTGCATATCCAGCAGAGTATTGAAGAACTTTCTGTTGTTTGAGCCTTCGGTTTAATTCCTCGGTGGCCTTCNACAACGTAGTACAAGCTACAATGTGGTATTATTTTGTTTTAGTTCTAATACCGCAGAGCGCGTATTTGTTAATCTGAATTATCTTCGCTTTTAGACTTCGTTGATCTGCAGTTGCGCCTTCCAACTGCTGTACATTCAGGCTGTACCTAGATGAGGTGTTCCTATATTCAGCGCCGCGTAGGGGAAGGGCACAAATGCACTTCATGACATACATTTTGCGTCACTTGGAATTCACGAACGCCTTCTTCGATTATGAGTTCAAGGTCCCTTCCACACTACGCCGGAGAAATTCGAAAACGCAGCTTTATTTCCACGGTTAGGTCTACCGTCCACACTAATCCGTCACGAAAACGGAGCTTTTCCAAAACGCTCTTCAAACAGGAGGAATTTGAAAACACCGGCTTTGCGTTTCAGTGTGGACAGAAAACATTTTGAAAACGGAGCTTTTCGAAAACGATGACGTCACGACAATCATGTGATTCCCAGCCCGAGTCCTCCTCAATCAAAAATCCAAATGACCTGTGATCGCTGCCTTCTCAATTTTATCCGGCGTAGTTTGGATGAGAAACAACTCATGCATTCTCAGAGTGAAAACGCCGTTTTCAAATTTCTCCGCGAGAGAAAGAACGTCACCATATATACGTAGTCAAAAGAACGTCACTATATGCACGTACCCGGCGGCGTGTTACAAGACCTTGCGTTGTTTGAGACTCCTTGACTAGAAACGCCCCACAGGTATATGTCAATTCAATACATTCATTTCAAGTGGCTTGCGACTCGAAGGCAGTTCTATTTGTCATTAGCTAAGCGGCCGAAAGAACGTCGAAATGTCTGCATATCCAGCAGAGTATTGAAGAACTTTCAGTTGTTTGAGCCTTCGGTTTAATTCCTCGGTGGCCATCCTATGGCACATGACGCACAGGGTTCTGTAGTTGTCTAATCCACACTCCCCACCCCCCTCAGACACGGGCGTGATATGATCCGCCTCCCAGAACTACAAACGAAGGAAGCAAAAAGTACATAATCAAATTAAGTCTTCGAAGCTGAGTTGCACTGTGATGCGTTGGGTTGCGTTGCGTTGCGTTTCGCTTCGCTCCACTCCGCTCTGCTCTGTTACGTTCTGTTATGAGAGGGATAGGAGAGGCAAAAGATCGGAGTCCATTAATTGGAGTTTCCCGGGAAATAGAAAGTGGGGAGACGTTGCTAAGACTACTTTGCATTGGTACACTAAGCTTCCCAGCAATCATGGACGTGTTGTTATTCCACATCGGCGGAAAGGAGGAAAGTGAGCAGACTAGCTGTTGCCTAGAAGCGTTAGCTCCACTTACCATTCCCTCTTTTGGTTCCATGACCATCTTTTTCAGCGTCCTCTGTGGGAGGGCGGAATAAGGCGTTCGCGCCAAGAACGCCGGTCGATTGCGGACGCTCAGAACTGTGACGCTTTGGTACAAGCTGTGAGCGTCCAGGAAACACAGCTGGCAGATGCCTCGCTCTGATTCAAACAGTGCCCTCCTTACAGCTGTACCGCTGACACGAACCTGGAGGACAAAAGAAAGGTGGTCAG